AACACACTCAAATAAAACCCATAGAACAACTCAGGAAACACTGCAAATCCTGCAGCCTGGAGCAGAGGCCAGAACTTCATCAACCTGCCTGGGCCTCAGATGGGATCCTTACAAAAAGATGCCTCAAGGTCAACTGCAGAGAGGTCAGAGAGATTGGGAGACCATGAATAGATCCCGGAGAGGAGCCACCAGAAAGGCTCCTGTGGGCGTTGAGGAGTGACTGGGCAGAGAAAGAAAGAAGTGGTGGCTTTATTTAGGATGCAGGAAACTTGAGTATGTTTTCAACATAAGGAGGAGTCAGAGCAAGGTAGAAGTTGAAAGGGGGAATAACTGGGTAGACACAGAGGGGGAAGGGAGAGTATGAAAAACACAGAGGAAGGGACTAGCCTGGGAAGTCCACCTCCACCTCTACCTCGGGAACTCTTTTCCTACCACCCTAGCCCACCTTCTGGGAGTTTCCATTTCAGTGTTTCTAGAAGAAGTTTCAAGCAGGTTTATTCACAGCTGGTCCTCAGACCAGGAGTCAGCAGCAGCACCTAGATTTTTTTAAATTTTTCTTTTTATGATGCTGGGAATGGAAGCCAGGCCACAAAAGTGTGCTACCACTGAGCTAAGTCCCAGCAGCGCCTGGATCTTGCTTGCTGAGTCTGGCCCTGCCCCAGCTCTCTGACTCAGAACCTGCACAGTATCAGGACCGCAGGCCGTGGCTTGAATGTGTCTCCTAAATTTCGTGTGTTGTAAACTTCAACCCCAAAGTCCTGTCAGTGGTACTTGCAGGTGAAACCTTTGGGAGGTGACTGATGAATCCGTTCCTGGATCAATGGATCATAGATGATGATCTCTCACCCTGGCACACTAATTCTGCATCACCATGTAAGGCCCCACATTGTCTTGAGTCCCTGCAGAGCTCCAGACAGCGAGGAGGCCTCATCTGATGCAGCCACTAAGCCAGCTTCCAGAGCTGTGAGAAACAAATTGCCTTCCTTTATAAATTACCCAGTCTTGGAACAGACTAAGACCACAGGCGACTGTGATTACAATTTGAACCGCACTGGTTTACAGCAGTGTTTACAAATGTGGGCAGTGATGTCAGAGAGATCTGGGTTCAAATCCAGCTCTGCCTGGATTCCATGGTATAGGCCCTTGGCAGAGCCTCTCTGAATCTCAAATCCTGTCCCTCAGCAAGATGGGCATGGTGATACCAACATTTCTTAGGAGCTATCACATAAATTAAATGATATAATGTAGAGATTAGGAGCCTGGCATTGAATTTATACATGGTAACAATGGACGCTTTGTAGTCACTGTGCATCCCCTCCAGCATGACTGGTGTAATGGCTTCATTTTGTCCTGTGTCTACCCCTC